ATATAATATTCTACGTAGAAAGCTTAGTTCAGCAAAGCATAAACGCTACCAGTTCTCATTCAGTCACCCGTAAGCAGTTGCCATTAGTGTTAAACTGTAACAGCCACCTGTCATGTTCTTTTGCGTAATTGTTATCCACCGGAACTCTTTGAAAGTAATTAATGTTGTAAAAGACGAAATTCCTGCTTAGCCAATCGTGTAGTAGATTACATGACTCGTTAGATTATTCATGGCATTACCTTATCCATTCACGTTAGGTTTAAATAGAACTGTTTTGTAAAGCTTAAGAGAAAAGAAGAGAAGGGAAAAGAGACAAAACGAGAGAAAAGAAGAGGGGGGACGAACCAGCCCTGGCCAGGTCCGTTCTGGTCAAAATTGTAGTAGAGCTGGCAGAATAAATTTACGTTGGAGCCAACCCTGTTGTTGTTAGTCATTGTCTCAAGGATAGTCAGCAACCATAATAGATTCCGGTCCTTCCCACAGCCAGCGAGTGCCCCCAAGGAAAGCCTTTACCCAGAAGGAGTTTTTAAGAATTGTCCCCGTCCGTCCGTTTATTTGTGAAGGCAAAACTTGTTTTCACACTGGTAGAGGAGAGCGGCAAGTGCGGAAAGACTATCAGAGAGAGAAGTGCTTCACGAAGAGTTGGTTTGACCCCTTGGAGCGAGGAAGAAAGAAGACGCCCAAGTAAGTGGAATTACATTGCAAAACAAAAATTAAAAAAACACTACAAAAACAAAACAAGTGAGAGAGAGTCTGTTACCCATTTCATGTCGAGGTTTTTCAGAAAGAAAACAAACCCATATAATTTGAGAAGTAAAGGAAAATTACGTGGGAAAAACACGCCATCTGCAAGAGTGGACGCCTGTGTTGAGACCGATTTACTATTTGACAAAAGTGACATAGCCCCAGAAGACAGGGATCGACCGCCGAAAAAGACACTGATTCTGAGCCATTAGAAAACCATCAAAGAGACTCTGACAAGTTTAACAAGACCAACTTGGAACTTGTAGATATCAGCGAAGTTTCTACAAGCGAAGACAGTTCTGACAGTTTGGTGCCACTGTGCCCTGGTAATACCAAGGATACTGAGGAAATAAACACTTTAACAGAAGAAATAGACATTTTCCAGGAAGAGGAAAAATGTTACAGAGACCGCCCTTGAGACAGGTGGACAACAGGTACCAGAGAGTACATTACACCTTGTTGATCATACGTCATTCATGCCACCTGGTACAACTTTCGTAGTGAATAACAGTACAACTTCTGGTGGACAACAGTTGCCAATTATTACTTCACCTGGCGACATTTACGAACATTTCCAGCATGGTAGTTATGAGGGAGGATTACTCTGTGACGACTCTCCCAACGCTAATTTGAGTCCCTTACTCGTAGGCCTTACTGACGTTGATACCAGTTCGATTACCTCTGGCAGCGCTGATAGCTCAATTTCAACTACCATGAAGGGAGAATACATCCGTGCCCTTCAGGAACTCACTCAGAAATTATTGAGTAAGGGTGTTCACATTAATAAATATCACGGATATGAAAACGAGGACATAAACTGCTGGTTTGAGAAACTAGAGCTGGTCTTGGAGTCTAAGGGAATTCCACTGGATGTTCCAGCCACCAGAACACGGCTCATTAATAACCTCACTGGGACAGCAGAAACATTCATGTTTGAATTACCGCCCGAGGAGCGAGGAAGCTTTATGCTTTTAAAACAAAGCTCAAAGCTGACATAAATCGGCTGCAACCCACTTCCACTACTTCTGTCAACGGTGTATTCACTTATCTCGCTTTCACCTTTGCTCTTATTAATTTTTTTGCTGTTATAATTCTCTTTCGTTGTACTCACCGACCACGCCAACCAGTACAAATACCGCCCATTCCCTTGTTAACCCATGGAACTACCATGCAAGACTAATCACACTTCACGTTATTAAATTCGCACTTTCCAGTTTCGTTGCCACCAGAACGTATTTTGATTCCCTTTTCTTGACCGCCCATTGTCTTTTTTACTATATAATTCACCCCTTTTCCTTCCCCTCTCACTTGTTGCCTCCAGTTGCTGAGTTACTCAAGTTCAACGAGACGTCCTTTACGATTATGGCTCATTTTCTCGATGTGATAGTGACCGTCGATGGTTTCCAGCACGGTGAAGACGAATTTAAGCTCAAAGCCATGGCCGTCGTTGCTCCTTCAGTTGCATTCCAGTGGTTGAACGTGTACCACATTGTATTCCTGGAAGACCTCCTGTGGGGCCATCTCCAAACTTACTGCACACAAGCTGATCATCATGGCCTTGTGATTGGGACTTCAGGAGCCGAGCAATGCACAGCGCCGGACCATCTGCGCTGGGCTCTGTGCCAAGTACAGTTAGCGTATCTCAAACAAAGATGTCTCCCATCTCCACCAGTCCAGATCTGGACCAAGGGCATCCCCAACTCGTGTTTTGTCGCGATGTTGCTCCCACAATACGCGCCTGAAGTTAGGAACCTAGAGGACATCGGCTGTCCGACCTTCTGGAGGCTGTTCACCGGACAAGAAGACCGAGCAACTTTGGAAACGCTGTTAAAGGCCCTGTCCCTGGCTGCCTGGGTTGAGGACCACCATTCCCACAAACACTCGTAGGCTGCGACATCTTCTTTTAACTATTTAATTTTTGTAAATAAATGTGCGCAGTTCTTCAGTTTTTTTTTGTCTCATTAACTTGATTACCTTTTCGTACTTGCTTGTTGCTTAATTTGAACCCCCGAGGCCATTATATTTCGGCTTGTTCGGGTTATGCCACGGTTCAGGCACAAAACAAAATCAAATAAAAAATTCATAAAACAAACAAACAAACAAACAAACAAAAAACAAACCACCCTTATAGGTTTACTTCGCTGTGCTTTTTTTTAGTTTCTTATATTTATTATGCCTTCTCCTTTTTTCGCTAGACCAGGAGGTCTCGATTTAAGGTGGGAGGAATGTAACGATAGGATTTTTTAGTTATCGAGTTCTTTCATGCTTGCGCTTAAAAAATATAATATTCAACGTAGAAACCTTAGTTCAGCAAAGCGTAAATGCTACCAGTTCTCCTTCAGTCACCAGTAAACAGTTGTTATTAGTGTTAAACTCTAACAGCCACCTGTCGTGTCCTTTTTCGTACTTGTTATCCACCAGAACTCTTTGAAAGTAATTAATGTTGTAAAAGGTGAAATTCCTGCTTAGCCAATAGTGTAGTAGATTACGTGACTCTTTAGCTTATTCATGGATTACCTTATCCATGTACGTTAGGTTTAAATAGAACTGTTTTGTAAAGCTTAAAAAAAAGAGAAGAGAAGAGAAGAGAGACAAAACGAGAGAAAAGAAGAGGGGGGTCGAACCAGCCCTGGCCTGGTCCGTTCTGGTCAAAATTGTAGTAGAGCTTGCAGAATAAATCTACGTTGGAGCCAACCCTGTTGTTGTGAGTCATTGTTTCAAGCATAGTCAGCAGCCGTAATAGATTCTATAAAGGGGTAAGTTTCTAAAGAAACTGTGGTGCTGCGTCGGTGGGAGAGTATAGCAGGTAATTTAGTGTTAACAACTGGGTTGAAAACGTAAATTAGCCACCATAAAGGGTAAAAAAGCTGACGTTTCGAGCGTTAGCCCTTCGTCAGAGCGATTGATGAAGGCCTAACGCTCGAAACATCAGCTTTTTTACCCTTTACGATGGCTAATTTACGTTTTCAACCCAGTTGTTAACACTAAATTACCCGTAATAGATTCTGGTCCTTCCCGCAGTCAGCGAGTGCCCCCAAGGAAAGCCTTTACCCAGGAGTTTTTAAGAGTTGGCCCCATCCGTCCGTTTATTTGTGAAGGCAAAACCTGTTTTCACACTAACGAATAAATTAATTCGTCTCTGTTGACGTCTAGTCGATGGGGACGACACCGTCTCCGTTTTGATCTCCGACACAGAAAGTCGATTGAAAGCCCTTCGCGTCAAAGAGATTGAAGGGATCATGATTTGTAGCCGCGCACAATGGCTAGAAGAGGGCGAAGGCCTTTTGGCAAAGATCAAGTGTACTGGATACTAGTGTCCAAGCTCCCCAGGCAAGGTAAACTACTTTGGCCTGGTGAATAAATTATAAATTATGATGGAAATTGACACACAAGTGTCAGGTTTACAAGATGTAGCATCACGAGATTACGGGAGCCTTCTTCCCTGATTGGAACCGGATTTTTACCAGAAAATTTTATCCCGCCCACTTTGATTGATCCGCCAAGTTATGAAGCAGCTGCCCGACCACCGCTTAATGACAACCAGAATTTTGTTCCCGCACATGATAAGGAAAACGACCTCCCCTCATGCAAGTTGTTGTTTCCAATCCTGTTAATAGAGCTGAGAAGGCAGGGCAGGGAGGCAAGAAGACTGGAGTGACCTGCCTCTTGACTGAAGCAAGGAGAGGGAAAAGTAATCAGAGAGAAAAACTAAAGGACTTGACTAAGTCTATCGAAGAACATAGTCCTAAACTTGGCATAATTCAAGTTGTTGATACCACAAGTGTTGATGCACTGCCTGCTATTAACACTCGCTTTGGACAGTGCCCAGTTGGTTCATTTGGATCTTACCAGCTTTCAGTAACAGAGTCTGATTTTGCATTTGTAACTATAGTTGATGGATTTGACCCAGCAGAGTTTTGTACAGCAACAGAATTTCCTCCATACCCCTCATTTCCCTTGGAGGATTGCATCATGGATCATTTGTGACACCTGATGATCTAGGTGATAAAGAGAGAGAATTTTTGGAAGGCTTAAGAGTTGATGTAATCCAGGCCAACAACATGAAAGAAAGGACACGAGGACAAGCAGATTGTGAGGAGTGGATGACAAAAAGGAAATGGAGGTTCACAGCCTCTAATTTTCCCATAGGCAGAGAAACCGCGACAAGTTTGTGGAACACCTTATAGCTCAAAAGCCATTTTCATCAGCTGCTGTAGAACATGGCAGGAAATACGAACCAATGGCTTTGAAAGAGTATGAAAAAAAACGCGAGGAGAACTGGAAGACCTGTAAAAGTTTTGAAGTCTGGCCTGTTTGTTTCTCCTAACATTCCTATTTTGGGTTGTTCACCTGATGCAAAGGTCATTGATTTAAGCAAAGAAATATCTGACATCAAGATCGATGAGAACGAAGTCTTGGTTTCCTTCGATGTTGTATCATTGTTCACCGCGATCCCTGTTGACAAAGCATGTGATTACATCAAGATCAAACTGGAACAGGACGCCTCTCTTCCATCCAGAACAAATTTGGACATCAATGACATAATATCACTCCTTCAATTTACCCTGTCCAACAACTATTTTATGTTCAATGACAGAATCTATAAACAAGTACACGGATGCACTATGGGCAGTCCAGTTAGCCCTGTAGTGGCCAATCTTTGTAAGGAAGAAATCGAGGAAAGTGCGATTAACAGTTCATCCGTCCCTCCTAAAATTTGGAAACGTTATGTCGATTACAGCTTCTGCATCATCAAAAAAGACAATGTGCCAGCTTTCCATGACACATTAAATTCAATTGACGCAAACATCTCTTTCACCATCGAAATTGAAAGTGACAATAAGATCTCGTTTCTCGACACTTTGGTCACCCGTAGAAATGGTACCATCGCTGTCGATGTTTATAGAAAGCCTACGCACACAGACAGATATCTAGATTACAATTCTCACCATGATAATAAACACAAGGCCAGCACAGCAGCAACTCTTCTACACAGAGCCCTAAAGCTACCCAACTCCTCCGAAGGAAAAGAACGAGAACTTAACCGAGTTTATTCAGCACTTGAATCTAATGGTTATCCATCGAATTTCATTAAAAACATCCAGGCCAACAAAACCCAACGCTCAACAGTGTTGTCCCCGGAGGAACTTGTTGGAACATTTTTCAAGATGGTCGAGGGGTCCAAATCACGCAAGTCGTTCGCCTCTCTTCCATACATTAAAGGCGTAACAGAACCTCTAACTCGTGTCCTCCAAAAATATGACATTACAGTGGTGAACAAACCGCTCATCACCCTTCAACAACAGTTCTCAGCCCCAAAATTTTGACCATCGTTGGAATCGCAAACAAATGTTATTTATAAAATTCCTTGTGGTGACTGTTCATGGTGTTCTATTGGTGAGACTGGCAGGGCCTTCAACACAAGAAAGAAAGAACACCTCAGAAATGTGAAAACCGCGGCAAAAGGCTCAAGAATTGCCAATCACATCTGGGCCAATAGTCACGCAAGAGACTTTGATAATGCATCTATTATTGACAAAGGCGGTTTCAGAACAAAAAAAATACTAGAAGCGTGGCATTCCAAGTTAACTCCCAATGCGGACAACAATTCCTGTCCTTTGCCCGGACAATACAACATTCTTTTTAACAAACATTCTTAGTTATCAGCATTTTTAATTTTTACTTCGTACTTCACACCTAGTATTTTTTACCTTTTTATCATTTTACCTGTTGAAGGCTGTAGCGCAAACAGCCGAAAGCTCGTATTTTTAAAAGTTTTAGCCAGAGAACGTTTTTTAAATTTCATAATATGTGATTATTATTTCGAATATATCCTTCCTGTGGCTGCTTTGTAACGCTTCAATTATTTGTATTACTAGAATTAATATTTTTGTAAACACGGAGACTTTTTATGTTAATATATCTTATGTCTTGAAAATTTTCATGACAAATTTATTTTCCAAATAAACACAGTCAAGTTATTTCAAAGATCTTCACCTAAGCTTCTGAAACAATTTTGTTTTCAATTTAACAGGGAAGTGGGTTGGGGGGTGAAAGGACAGTATTACTAGTTTTAAGTACGTAATTTTCAAGCTAACAAGGCCCTTTTAGTAGAATAAAGGGAAAGGCCAACAAAAATATAAAAATATACAAAAATAACACATCTATGTTATATCTTCCCGGGATCAATTTCTGGATGATCTTCAGGCCAAAATCAACCCTTCTGTTCCCTCTCTGCCGTGCGGCGACTTTAACATGGTTTTCGACAGAGCTTTGGATAGGCTTGGCTTTGACCCATCTGACTCATCTCGCAAGAGTACTTCTGCCTTTCATGGCCTCTTTGACGCATGTTGTGTCATTGACATTTTCAGGTACCTGCACCCATCTACGCCCGGGTTCACATGGACCAAATGGAACGGTGACCTTGCTTCATGCATCGACCTTGTCAGCATTCCTTTTCTGTGGGTCTCTTCTGTCTCAGCCTACTCCGTGGTGCCCTGTCCTTTTTCAGATCACTGCGTGGTCAAGGTATCTGTCGCGGTCCCTGACATCATTCCCCCCGGTCCAGGTCTGTGGAAACTTAATACAACCAGTATGTCCATCTGGTTTCCGACTTCTGGCAGGCCTGGCGTGGTTCCATGAATAGTTTCTCTACATTAGGCACTGTAAAGATAGGTCTGCAGCGGGGGCTCGATATAGGTCCCTGCTGGTCGACCTGGTAGCATGCCGGTTTGGCATCTTGCATTGTCCCTTATCATTCTGAGCTCGAGGCCCTTACGTCCCTTGCCTTGGCAGCAATTGTCACTCAGGAGAGATCACGTGTACTCTCTTTGCAAGAAGAGGTGGTCGATTTTTGGCAGGTTGTCTTCCGTTCAGTTTGTTCCCAGGTGTCTAATTCGGCTCACGTTTGAGGACCCTATCGAGAAGGTTAGGTTGGTCAATCAGGGGTTGGTTATTTTAGGTAACATCAAGTGTAGTGTCACCCCCCAGACCGGCCTAACACCCTGGTGTAATTACAGTGGGTGATTGGACAAAACAGCAGACACGTGAGGGTTTGAGGAAACCAAACTTTTGATTGTTTTATGGAGTGAAGAGGCAGTGCAACACGAGTTAAACACCATGCACAACAAGAAACTCGTATGGGACAAAATAAGCCAAGGAATGGCCGATGGAGGGTACTCGAGAAGTGCATGACAGTGTTTTGTTAACATTAACAACCTCAAGCAAAAATATTGCAAGATTTGTGACGGCAACAAAATTTCTGGAAACCAATGACAAGAATGGGAGATGTTTGAACCAATGGACCGTGTTCTTGGCTGCAAACCAACCTCAAAACTTAGAGTGGTTTTGACTCAATGCCAAGCATTTCTAAAGAGGACGAAAAGATTTCCAAAGTGAGGTATCCTGATGATGGTGACGAAGCCTTTGGCAGTGTGGTTGATGTTTCATCATCCCTCTCAAATGAAAATGAAAACGTTGTGGCAACTCCCAAAGAAAAAAGCAGATGCGCAAAGACAACCAACATAAGCTTGGTAAAGAATCGAAACATTGCAAGCAAAGGCGAGATAGAACATGTTTCTATGCAGCCTTCTACCTCAGCAAAAGATCCAGAATTTACGAGCAAGAAACGCAAGAAACCTTGTAAAGGGGATAAAATTTCTGAAGCATTATCAACATTTGCAGAAGTACAAAGGGAGCAGCAACAGTTAGTTATAGAGATGGAAGAAAGACAGGCCCAAAAAGAATTGGAGTTAGAAGAAAAACAAATGAAGCTTGAGCAAGAAAATGACCAACACAAGGAAGCCTTTATCATGCAAATGATACAGATATTTGCTAAATGCATAGACACAAAAACTGCGGTCCTGCAACGTTGACTGATCAGGTTAAAATAAACAAATGAATATATTGTGTTTAGTTATAAGAATATTTAATGGCTGTACTACATATCATTTCTTTTGATCACGAATTTTGAACTTCAACGGTATTAGTTTTACAAAGGGATCAATTCATGTGTCATGCCAAAAGCTCGAAGGGCAAGCGTGTTATGTAAATTTCATCAGCCATTCTGTGCAAACCAGCTAATTAAATGGTATATAAAATTGGTTTAACGCCATAGTTCTGCCTGGTTCTCATAGAAAAAAGACGGAGAAAAAAGTGGCCACTAAAACAATTTGGAAGCAATAAAAACCAATCATATAACAGTTACAAAATGAAACAAATAGTGTTAAAATACATGATATAGTCAGAAACTATCACAGAGGGCATTCCTAATAGCCACTGCCTGTCTTTCGTCTGCCATCCTCGCAGGAGCGAGTTTGACAAGCTGCAGATTTTTATTATCTAGCAAGTCTTCATTCAATTCTTCGTTGTTGATTTCAAAAGTATTGTGAATAACACAGCATGCACCCACCATTACTGGCACTCTGTCAGTCTTGCAATCTAGCCTTTTGAGGAGGCAACGCCACTGACCCTTCAGTCTACCAAAACTGTTTTCCACTACTATCCTTGTTTGGCTCTGTTGTTAAGCGAAGTTGTTTCCTTGACAAATTGCCGGGGTTCTTGTAAGGTGTCATTAACCATGGTTTCAGAGGACATGCAGGATTACCCAAAACAAATGGAGGAATTTTAATGCCTTACACTTGTCTTGTCACACGAGGGACAAGGGAACCTACTTGGGCTTTCAGATCAAGGGCAGACTTTGTTAAAACTTGCACGTCATGGACATGTCCTGGCCAAGAAACATTGATATTCCAAAAACATAAGTGACTATCCACAAATCCTTGTAAAATAAAGGAGTAAAACCCTTTCCTGTTGTGCTAATCTTCTGGATCATCTTTTGGACAAATACTTGGTATATGGCAACCATCTATTGCCCCACTTACCTGGGTGAACCCCGTTTTTCCCTCAAACTCCTCCATAATTTCTTGTACTTGTACCTCATCAATAGGAATACTTAAATATCTTGACAAAAGATGACAGGTTATAGCCTCGCAAACACTACTAACAATTTCACAAGCTGTAGAACGGCCAATTTCCATTAACTGAGCAAGTGTTCTGAACTCTACATTGGTAGCCAATTTCCAGTGTCACAGCCACACGTTGTTGCAAGGGTACTGCCTTCCAAAAGCGTGTATCTCGTTTTACTACGTAATGTTCAAGTTCAGTACACAGCTTGTTAAATGTGTCTTACCCCATTCGGAAGTGCTCCATCCAATCCTTAACATGCCACTCTCACTGAATCAAAGTCCACCAATGCTAGCTCCTTGGCTTACTCCAAACCTTTCTTACAACGGTTTGATCGACAACTATCAACAGGAAGGCCAAAAGAAAGGTAAGTGCTTGCTTGACCAAAAACTGTCTCATCCGCTGTTGCTGTTTCAGATGGCATATTTTCCTTATTCTAGCCTTCGAAGCTTCCTTTGCCTTTCTTCTGGCCTCCAGATCAAGTGTTGCGCCATTTTGTTTTCAACTTTAGATTGAGAGGTTACCCTGCCTAGTCTATTTGAATTTTCACAGATGTGGACAGAACCATAATTGAATAAAATTGAATGGAGTATGATAGATTGAACCGTAATTCAGTTGAATATAATTCACATTTAGTATGAACACGGCATTAGTGTGATGTTTCTGATTGTTACTTGCAAGTTGAATTTTCTTTTTTCTGGTAAATTGTTTTGTGTCTGCTGTGTATATGCACCCAATCACAACCCTGCACAGGATCAGTTCCTTAAGGACTTTCACCCCAATATTGATCCCTCGATCCCTACAGTTCTTTGTGGTGATTTCAATGAGGTGTTTGATTGCTCTCAGGATTGGGCGGGCTCTGGCCCCTCTGTCTCCTTGCTTGACAGCTCCTCCTCACCCAAGTATCTGTTCGAGGACTGCTGCGTGATTGACATATGGAGGCATCTCCACCCTTCTTCTTTGGGTTTTACCTGGACCAGGTGGGATGGCAGTCTGGCCTCTCATATTGACCTTTTTAGTGTTCAGATTTCATTGGTGTCCTCTATTTCCTCTTGTAGTATTGTCCCTTGTCCTTTCTCAGATTATTGTGGTGTATGTCTCAACGACCGCTGATGCTATTCCTCCTGATCCAGGTCTCTGGAAGCTTAACATCTCTATCCTCAACAATCCAGAGTATGTCAACTTAATATCTAGGCATAGCTATCATGGCGCAACTCCATCCCCCGCTTTCCCTCCCTGGCAAAGTGGTGGGATGGGGGGAAGAGAAGGATGGGGGGAAGGGTCTCACGATCCATCACTGTTGCCAGAAGTCCAGGGTCCAGTCGCATCTCCAGGACCTTCTGGTCCAGCTGATTGACCATCTTAAGGCTAAAGTCAATCTTAGCTCTTCGTCATGCCTCAGCCCATATCATTCAGCCCTAGCGGAGTTGGCTGCTATCAATTCCCATGCAGCTAAGGGAGCCCGAGTCTGCTCTCATGCCAAGTGGGTAGAGGAGGGTTAATCATCTTCATTGTACTTTTTGTCTCAAACGGAAGCGTGGTCTTTTCTCCACTTCCCTGGTTGACCCTCACATCCAGGCTGATCTCCTGGAGAACTTGTCATCCTCTCTCTCTGATGATCAGTCCTCTCTTTGTGAGGGTCATCTCTCTGTGGATGAGGTTCTGTCTTCTCTCCGTGGGATGGTCAGACCTAAGGCCCACATGCCCACCTGGGTGGCAAAGGAGCTCTCTTCTCTGGCTTTTTCTTTCTTCTGGTCTGGCAAGCGTGAGCTTGTCTCTCGCTCTGTCATGATCCAGTCCCCTCTTTTTGGTGGTTTTCTGTTGTCAGTGTTCTGTACAAGGTGTGGGCTCTTCTTGGCCAGTGGGTGAGGAGGTTCGCCTACTCCTCCCCTGGCTGGTCCTCACTCAGGTCTTCTTGGTTTTTGTCTTCTTTTGGTGTTTTGCTGTCTGTTGTCTTTTCCAGGCCTTTTTCCTTCGACTCCAGGGTTTTGCTGCCGTTTTAAAGCTCTCTCCATCTGGCCTGGCGTGGCCTGAACGGTTTGTTTGCCACGTCTTGCAATTCTCTTGTCTTTGGTTCGTCCTGTCCCCATGTCTGCTGCCCTGTGGCTGACATGTCCACTAAAAGCTGTTATTTGTATCTTCTGTCTGAGAACATGGTTTCACCACATTGCGTTGCCAAGTTCTTTCGCAGATGGATGATACAATTTTATCATAGAAAGTTTGATAAAAATCTTTCTTCCATCAATGATATTGAAGTTCTGCCTAAACAGCCACAGTTTTTCAAGTAAGTTTTCATAATTTAGAGTAAACTTTATCATAACCATTTTCTATAAACTGTACTTATCAAACGTATGCAGTATAGCACTTACCCTTTCAACCATGCAGTCACAAAGAAAGCGCGAGAGATTAACTTCCTTGTCAACCCCAGAAGTTGCAATGTTGAAAGACACTCCTCCTTGAAAGTTTATAACTTGTTTTGATTGGGCCAGACCAAGGGTAATTTCTATCGAAAATGACGTGCCAGAACGACCTTGTACTGTTTTTGTGAACCCACGTGCACGAGTACCCGCAACTGTTTTCTTCAAAGCCCTAAACGATGCTTCTGCAGATCCCTGTCATCTTTCATGTATTCAGCTACAGTCTAATGGCAAAATAATTGAGCTGACCTCATGTAGTTCTGGACTCCATGAACGTTTTTTGAGTCTCAACACCATTGAAATTCATGTAAAACCATTCGCGCTTTTACATGTTGGCCCATCTCCAAATTTTGCAACACATCTTATGAAATGCCCAATTCTGTAATAATTACTCATTTATTCAAGTATTTTGATGTCCTCCACCACCATTGTGGTTACTTTAAACACCCTGGCTTTGAACATATTGAGAATGGTGTTCATCATCACCGCATCTGTTTAAAACAACTGATCCCCAACTTCATGCATTTTGGAAGAATTCAGATAAATTTGTGCTACAATAACAAAACCCAAACCTGCCGTCATTGTCACTGCACTGAACATTTTGCTAACACTTGCCCACAAACTTACATATTACAACTGCAAAGAAATTGTTAATCTGGCTCCAACTTGTCTGGAAACAACCGGATCACAGAGTAAAGTCCTGTCCTTAATGATGACCTAAATAATTTCTTTTTGAGGACCGACCCAGATTAAAATTTTTACTCGTTTGACAGCATTGCCAAGTCCAATGAACTTTTTTGGCCCACATATTCAACTTCAATTTTCTCCTCCATAAATAATAAAAAAATCAAGAGCATGTTTTAGGGTTTTTATCTGGAAAGAACTAATGATAGAGAAGAAATCGAGAGCATATTCTGATGTTTTATTGGGGGAAAAGGGGTCATAAACCTATATTTTGGGAAATAACAAAAAATGGGAAAACAGTAAATAGTAAGGACCTCCCACCTCATGTTTTTGGCAATTCTGGACGGAAAACTAATTTTTTAAAATTTTTTTAAATTTTTTTTTACTTGGCCTTACTAATAAACTTGAAACTTCAACAAATGTTTTGTCACTGCTGAAAATTTATGGAAAGGAATATGTAGCCTTTTTTTTTTTTTTTAAGTTTACAATTTAGTTCTGAAACCTCAGTAGTTGAATGAAAAACACCCTCATGGGCGTTGAAGTTTTAAATACTGCCATACATTTGCACAGGGTGCACAGGATAAAAATAAAATAAGAGAAAATGTATAATTGTAACAATTGGTTACACACCCGCCTAGTGCTAAGAACTTGGTCATTGTTGTTGTTTCATTTTGAGTATTAATAGCTTCAGAATTTTCAAAATCATTATAATCCTAGATTAGCTTAGATTTATAATCTCTAATGTATGGAAGCCCACAAGGGGCACTACATAAAAAAGTTCAACTGCATATTAAAAACTGCAGCAATTACAAATAAAAAATGTTGCTGCAAATCAAAAAATGTTCCTGCAAATTAAAAAACGTTGCTTTAAAGTTCACTTCCAGCCTTGCGTAAAAACATGCAGTGGGTGCCATGTTTTATTCTTGTTGTGGGAAGGAAGCCAGCAAAGAATCAAAGTATTACTCAGCTTGTGGCTTTCCCCTACAGCTGTTGAGTATTGAGGTTGGTCAGGGATCAGCTCTGAAGTGACGCAACCTGCAGTGAATAGTCCTATAATTTTCAGGAATTTTTAAAACAAAAGGCTGAGAGCAGAAAGGAACATTTTAAGCCGAAATCTGCCAAGAAACGGAAATGTTTCAATAAACATTGGCATCATGATGCACATAAACGGAACTTTAAAATTCTGCCGAGGCCGCAATTTGCCAGTAACAGTTCCCCCTCTGCATCTACAGATGATATTTTGATGAAAGCTGTCACAAAGCATGCCAACCTCATGATCAACATCAAAAGTGAGTCTAACTAAAGTTCATCTCCTACCTTGCACCACAATGAACATATTTTATAACAGACTGGAAATAGATGATGAAGAACTTGAAAGGGCAGATTCAATCATACATAACAGCAGCAGTGACAGTAATTAAGCAAGAGGAAACCTGGTGTATTTGATGGCCCATATTCCACTGCTATGAGATAATAACAATTGCAAAAAAAAATCTAAATCCCCGACAAAAACCTGATTTGAGATGATTTGTGATACAGTCAAAACTCCATCCTGGCTTCAAAACACCCCACCATTTCCACTGTAGATGAGGAAACATTCCAGGAGCAAAGACCAAGAAATGATAATAAGAGATCTGTTTAAAGAGGAGATCAAGGGGAAATCTATGACAATAAAAACTGCAAGGGAGAAACTAGCTCAAAACGTGCAGCTGAAGGATGGCAACCTGAAGAAGATTCTTGACAAGATGCGGATGTAGCACTTTTCTTTCCTTCACACTAGAGCTTGTGAACCTCCCTGACAAACAAGAGAAGGAGAAAGAGTGGAGAAATCTCTTGTCGTCAAGAAAAACTGACCTTGGGAAATACATACCAAAACAACAGAGGCAAGTGGTGTTCATAACAGATTTTCATCCTAAGAGTTTCATAGGCTGAGAGCTACTTTCAAAGAGATGATCATGACATCTGTACCAATC